ACCATGGCAAACTTCTCAGCACAAACCATCTAATCGAGAAGAGCTTGAAGTATTACAGGTCCTGAGACAGAAGAGCTTCCAGTCAAGACTGATGTACCCTGCCAAATTATCCCTCAAATTAAATGGAGAAATAAACTCTTTTCAGGACAAAGAACAATTGAACAACTTCATGAGTGCCCAACCAGCATTACAAAGTTTACTAAAAAATATTCTAGACAGAGAGAAATCTGACCACAATTTCAAGAACAACACTAGAAATGAAATGTGAAGAAGAGCAAACAAGTAAACAGGTTGAAAATGTAGGACACCAGCGCAAGTAAATAACATGACAATGATAAATTAATACATATTGCTTATAAGTATAAATGTAAATGGCCTCAATTCTCCAGTCTTAAGAAACAGACTGGCACAGTGGACTAAAAAACAAAATCCAATGATATGCTGTAAAAAGGAAACACATTTCACTCAAAAGGAAATACATAGACTGAAAGTCAAAGGATGGAAAACAATCCTTCATGCAGCAGGAACCCAGATAAAAGCAGGGGTAGCTATTCTGTTTGCAGACAATGTAAATTTCAAATTGACAACAATCAAAAGAGGTAAAGAAGGTCACTACATACTAGTCAGGGGAAAACTGCAAAAGGATGAGATAACAACCATAAACATGTTTGCACCAAAAATCAGAGCTCCGAACTATATAAGACAAATCTTAACACGCATGAAAGCCCATAAAATTAAGAACACTACTAGAACAGGGGACCTCAACACCCCATTGACACAAAGAGATAGGTCAACTGGACAAAAAATCAGCAAGGAAATTACAGATCTGAACCAAAGCTGTGAATAAATGAACTTAGCAGATGTATACAGAGTGTTCCATCCCACAATATCAGAATACATGATTTTCTCAGTGGCACATGGGTCTTTTTCTAAAATAGACCACATCCTAGACCATAGAGCATACCTTCTGAAATGCAAAAGCTTTGAAATTATCCTGTGCATATTATCTGACCACAATGCAATGAAATTGGAAATTAATGACAAAAGGAACTCCAAAAACTCCATTAACACTTGGAAACTAAACAACCTCCTGAACAACCAATGGGTCACAGAAGAAATTAAAGAGGAAATTAAAAAATACCTACAAACAAATGAAAATGTAAATACAACTTACTGGAATCTATGGGATGCAATGAAAGCAATCCTCAGAGGACAATTCCTAGTGGTGAACTCACACGTAAGGAACACAGAAAGAGAACAAGTAAGTAGCCTAATGGTACATCTTACACTTTTAGAAAAAGAAGAACAAGTCAGGCCCAAAGGCCACAGAAGGGAGATTATGAAGATTAGGGCAGAAATTAATGCAATTGAGACAAAGAAAACCCTCCAAAAAATAAATGAATCAAAGAGCTCGCCCTTTGAAAGAATAAATAAAATTGTTAAAACCCTAACCAACCTTATCAAGAAAAGGAAGGAAAGAAGTCAGATTCATGCAATAAGGAATGAAAAGGATGAAATTGCTACAGATTCCACAGAAATTCAGAAGATCATTAATACCTACTTGGAAAATCATTACTCCCCTAGGATCGAAAACTCAGAAGAAATGGACAGATTCCTAGATATGTATGAATTACCAAGGTTGAGTCAAGAAGATATCAAATTCCTGAAAAACCCAATGAAAATTCATTAGATTGAAAGTGTGACTAAAAACCTACCAACAAAGAAAAGCCAAGGCCCAGATGGATTCACAACAGAATTTTATAAGAAATTCAGAGAAGATTTAATACCAACCCTCCTCAAAAACTTCAATGAAATTGAAAAGGAAGCAATTCTCCCTAAATCATTTCTGGAGGTAAGCATCATACTGATACTAAAACCACAGAAAGACTTAACCAAGAAAGAGAACTACAGACCAATCTCCTTAATGAATATAGATGCAAAGATACTCAATAAAATAGTAGGAAATAGAATGCAGCAAATTATCAAGAAAATCATACATCACAACCAAGTCGAATTCATTCCAGGAATGCAGGTATTCACAAATCTATAAATGTTATATGCCATATCAATGGAGCCAAAGACAAAAACCACCTGAGCATCTCAATAGATGCAGAAAAAGCTTTCAACAAGGTCCAACATGCATTTATGATAAAAATGTACAGAAAATAGGAATAGATGGTCTTCACCTTAACCTGATCAAAGCCATCTATGACAATCGAACAGCCAACATCATTCTCAATGGATAAAAACTGAAAGGTTTTATTTTAAAATCGGGAACAAGACAAGGATGTCCGCTGTCACCACTCTTGTTCAATATAGTTCTGGAACCACTAGCCAGAGCAATAAGACAGGAGAGAAATATAAAATCAATAAGGATAGGAAAGGAAGAAGTAAAACTATCACTATTTGCAGAGGACATGACACTTTACATGAAAGACCCCAAAGACTCCACAAGAAGACTCCTTGAATTAATACAAAGTCAACACCCAGAAATTGATAGCATTCCTATACACAAACAACAAACAGACTGAGAGAGAAATTAAGGAAACCATACCTTTCACAATAACATCCAAGAAAGTGAAGTATTTAGGAATCAATCTAAGAAAAGAAGTAAAACATCTATTCAATGAAAACTACAATACTCTGAAAAAGAGATGGAAGAAGATTTCAGTACATGGAAAAATATTCCTTGCTCATGGATAGAAAGAACCAACATTGTGAAAATGGCCATATTCCCAAAACTGCTGCACAGATTCAATGCAATTCCCATTCAACTACCATTACCATAACTCACAGATTTCGAGAAAATATGCCTTCAATTCATCTGGAACCAGAAGAGACCCAGAATAGCAAAAGCATCCCTGGGCAACATGGACAAGTCAGGTGGAATCACAATCCCTGAACTGAAATTATACTACAAAGCTACTGTCATAAAAGCAACCTGGTACTGGCTAAAAAACTGACTTAAGGATCAATAGAACAGACTGCAAGAGACAGCCACAGCCAAAAACACACTCAGCCACCTAATCTTTGATAAAGGGGCCAAACAAACTCACTGGAAGAACAATAGCCTCTTCAATAAATGGTGCTGGAAAAATTGGCTTGCTACCTGCCAAAGACTGAAAATAGACTCAAGCCTATCACCATGCACCAAACTCAAGTCAAAATGGTTCACAGATCTCAATATTAAACCAGAAACACTAAATCTATGGGAAGATAAAGTAGGCAAGAACCTTGAAGACATAGGGGCAGGCAGAGAGTTCATGAACAAAAACCAAAATGCACGTGAAACATTTGAAAGAATCAACCTCTGGGACCTCATCTTACTGAAAATTTCTGCACATCTAAAGAAATCACCAGCAAAGTAAAAAGAAAACCCACAAACGTGGATAAAATTTTAGCTGATTGTCCCTCAGACAAAGGGCTTGTATGTAGAACATATAAAGAATAGAAAATATCAGCCCCTCCAAATTCCAAGACCCAATCCAAAAATGGGCAGCGGAGATGAATACACACTTCTCAGACAAGGAGACACAAATGGCAAATAAATATATGAGAAAATGTTCATCATTAGTCATTTGAGAAATGCAAATTAAAACAACACTAAGATTCCACCTTACCCCAGTAAGAATGGCTAGCATTAAGAAATCAACGAATAACAAATGCTGGAGAGGCTGTGGAGAAAAAGGAACCCTTCTCCACTGTTGGTGGGAATGCAAACTCGTGAAACCACTGTGGAAATCAGTTTGGAGATTCCTCCGAAAACTAGGTTTAGAGGTCCCATTCAACCCAGCTATCCCCCTGCTGGGTATTTTCCCAGAAGATCTAAAAACATCATATCACAGTGATATATGTGCACCTATGTTCATAGCAGCACAATTTGTAATTGCTAAAATGTGGAAGCAACCCAAATGTCCATCCACCGAGAATTGGATAAGAAAAGTGTGGTACTTTTATATAATGGAATATTACTCAGCTATAAAGAAAGATAAACTCGAGGCCTTTATATTTAAATGGTCACAACTAGAGACCATACTCATAAGTGAAATAAATCAAACATACATGTGCAAGCACCACACTGTTTCACTAGTGTAAAACCTGAAAGAGTTCGTTTAAACTGGGAGGTATGATAGACATTGTAAAATGATAGGAAAGCACTCAAGGGTAAAGGGCAACTGGGATGTGGGAAAAGAGAAGGGAAAGAAGGAGAAATTTTGTATGTATGTATATGCAGGATAGTTAACATGGCTGTTCTACTGTCTTGTACTTCTTTGCTGAAAGAAACTGTCAGTGAGTCCTTATTGATCAGCATTGCATGTCTATATCTGTTTTCATGAGAAACCACTTTGAAGATATCAATATGTAATACAACAAGATTGTTAATTCCCTACTGCTTTGTTTGTAACTCTGTATTGTCTGTACTGTTCTTTGCTATTTTGTAAAATGTTTTCTGTCTGTTAATGTTTTCCTCCTTTTATTATTAAAATGAAAAAAAAAAGAAAACAGTGATGAAAGACAATATCAGAAAATGGAGAGTTCCAAGTCAGTGTGGGATACAAAGTGAATTCAAGGCCAGCCTGAACTGCACAGTGAAACACTTTTCAAATTGACCAAAAAAAACAAAGGAAAAAGAAAAAAAATTGAAGCACCAACACCCAACAGGGCCTGAGCCCAAGGAACCCTCACTGACTTCCCAGTGGTGCAGCTGTGGTGTATCCTTACCCCATCCCTGGCCCTGTCAGCACCTCCCCCTGCAGGACAAGGACAAAGACTAAAGTCAGAACTGAACACAGACCCAGGAACCTTTTGAAGGGGGAGAGCATGCTGGTCAGTCAGTCACTGATGCTGCGGTGTTGTCTCGCCCTGCACAGCTGAGGTCTTGGCCGGCCCGGCAGACCTGCTTTCCTCCTGCACCCAGGAGGCAGGCAGAAGAGACTTCACAGAGCTCCTTTGGAACCTGCAGGTTCACTGCACTGGGGCAAAACAGGGTTCACAGTCCGATGCCTGCCCTGTACTGCAGAACAGCTTCCGTGTGTCCCTGTTCTGCAGGTGTCTTGAGAAACAGGAGATGCTGCTTCCTGGTGTCCCCAGAGGACCCCAGCTTCCTGCCCCTCCGTGTGATTGTGTTCATTCTCCAGGTTGTTAATCTTGGTACTGTGAACATCACCATTACCAAAAGGAGTTACCCATATCAAACCCTGGTAAGGCTGGGATGAGGATGGAGGTGGAGCAAGTGCTTTGCATGACTGAGGCCTGGGCTGAATCCCCAGAACTACACATGCGCATGCATGCTCAAAGTCTGAGGTCCCTAAGGATGAGCTGTCATGCGTGAATATCTTTATCATATCTCATCACAGGAGGTTAGGACCACAGCACTCACATCAGATCCTTGTTCAAGAGCCCCTCCCCCAATCCACAAGCCCCAACCAAGGACTTTGCTTGCACACAGCTTAGGCGGACATCCTCTCTTCGTCTTTAGAAGTCACACTGCAGAGCCCGTTGCACAAGCGTATGGCACATGCTGTCCAGGCTGCCATCACTGTCAAGGCAGGTTGGCGCGGCGGGGGTGGTGTGGCCCAGCAGGAGAAGGAGGAGAGGCCACCTGTGCTGCAGGCCTCTCACTGGCGGCACTTCACACAGGCAGCTGAGGGGGCAGCAGGTGAGGAGCCCAGGGCCGAAACTTAGGAGGACAGAGGCAGTAGGTAGCCTGGTGTCCCAGAAGGGATTTAGGGAAAGGAAAAGTGTGGGAGGATAAGAAAAGAGAAATCTGCACCATGGGGTCTAAGTACCCATCATGTGTTCATGGAGGTGCCTCAGTGTGACATGTTCACCCCTTCAAGGGGCAGGAGACAGGGAGCTTCCTGTGCTTTGTTTAGCCTTCTGTAAATTGGAAACTGTTGTAAATAAAAGTTAGTATTATGTTGACACAGAGTGTTGCTACACAGACCAGGCTGGACTTGAACAAGCTACATAGGCCGGGCTGGATTTGAAGTCATGATCCTCACAACTCACCCTCCCCCAAAGTACTTCTAAACATATAGAGTGGTACTCACTCTCAGGCTGACCTTATATCCTGTGAGGCAAAGAGGGAGAGACTTCTGTTTGTTTTTTGAGACAGATTCTTGCTATGTAGTTCAAGTTGACCTTGAATTCATTATATTGTCCGGGCTGGACTGGAACTCAGAGGAACCCTCCTACCTCAGCATCCCTACTGCTGAGATTACAGGCATATGCCACCATGCCAAACATGAGAAACCCTGCTATGCAATGATGTGGTTAGCCCAATGCAAAGTCCTTGCTTTTGGACCACTGAGCCATTCTACCTGCTGCCTCGTAAAAGTTGTTCCCTGAAACCACACCCTCCAAGTGTGCATGTAGGTATCAGGGGATCATATACTTTTATGAAATATCAGCAGAGAGGAAGGAAAACTATAGCCTCAGAGGGTCAGGCAAGGAATGGAGAGAACAAGCGGTGGGTATTATGGGAAGGGTCAGCCCATGGGCCTTGCACTTGAGCTGCACATAGGCTGCAGTCCCAAGGCCATTGCAGTGTGTGGTCTCTCCTCCCGCTGCTGCCAGTCTAGGGTCTCCCACGATGCTCCATGTTGGTCCAAGGATGCCCATGGTTTTGCCTGAGGTGAATCCAGCCTGCTCTCACTTCCCCTGATGGGGTGGGAGCTCAGCCAGACACCTGAAGAACAAACTCAGTAGCCAGACCACAGCCCGCAAGCAAGGCAGGGTGGGAGCACCCCCACTAGCCTATGGCACAGATGAGCCCACAATGAAGTCAAAAGTCAGAAGATACCTGGGAGGCAGGAGACTCTTGGAACTTGCCTGTAATGTCACCTGCCATTGTCACACACTGGGTGGAAAACCATCTGCCCAAGAGACCCCCCTGAAAAATCAGAATGTGACTCAGGTGGACATATGGTCATTACAGATGGCCGGAGTGCAGATGAGTTCACCCTGGGTTGCAGTGGGCCCTAAATTCTACGAGTGGTTCTGTCATATGAAGGCACAAACCAGGTATGGTGGACACACTTGCAAACCCAGCAATATGGGAGGCTGAGGCAGGAGTCCAAGAAAGGGAGTGTGGATATAGCTCAGTGCGAACAGGGTGAGAGAGGCAGATAGACACAGACACAGACACAGGTATACCTCAGTGTGAACAGAGACAGAAAGAAACAGACAGACAGACAGACAGACACAGACACAGAAAAATTCAGACTAGGACAGAGGCAGAGATGCGTGCAGTGCTGCTGCAGTGTCTGGGGCCTCCAAGAGCCAGAGAAGCAGGGAGGAGCTTTCTCTACAGGAGTGTGTCCCGGTGACACCTTGGTTTCAGACTTCTGCTCTCCAGACGTAGGGGATGATGCGTTTCTTTGTGGTACCTGGAGCCCAGCAAATTGCAAAGCATGTTCCACCTGCTGAGGCACTCAGGCTGTCTCATGGGGTGTGCGCTCTGCCCTCCACGAGTGCATGCAACTTGTCTTCTCCAGGACTTGTGACCTAGACCGTTGCCATGGGGGTGCTGCCCCCTCCCCTGTGCACTGGCTCTTCCCACTTGGGGTCCAGGGCCTGTGCACACGCCACTCTACGGGACACACTAAAAGGGAAGTGAGAATCTGGTAGCACCAGGAGAAACCAGAAATTTCAGTTGTTCATAAATCTTCCAGGTCTTGCAGTTGATATCCCACCCACCCCCATTCTCTTCTCAAAGTAAAAGTGGAGCTGCATGTGGGAAGCTACGTTTTCTAGGGTTTCTAGTTGCGTGGAGTTTGGCATTATTAAGATGTTGCCCAACTCTTCACATGCTCATAGATGGGACTTTAAAGGTGTGTCAGTATCTAGTACATGTGCTATTGGGATTACAGGTGTGTTACAGGATCATCCACTAATTGGTTTAGCATAGTTTATGTGAATGTATTTACAAACTGCAGTTATATAAAATATCATTGTTTTAAACATGTGTAACTTTTACAGTATTAACTTTCCATACAATCTGTTGCCTGTGTGCAACTGTATTTTTATGTTTTGGTATAGATAGTGAATTGTGCACAGTTGGTAGTTTTTATTCGATATGTGGCTTGCATTCCCTGCCTTTGTCCCAGTCTTGGCTCTAGGGGTCAGCAGAAAATATGAATAAGGACACAGGACAGAACCACCCAGATGACACACCCAGGAGCAAAATGGACAAATGCCAGACTCAAGACCGTGCAACAGGAGGAACAACGAAATGACAACAAAGGGCAGAGTGAGATGGGCAGAGAGAAGGAAAGAAACTGTGGGGAAACTGTATTACTGCAGACATTAATGACATCACCACATGATCGTCTGCAGATGTTATCTGAATCAGCTTTAAAGACACACACTTACCAAAGAGGAAGTATGAACGCTGACTGATAATTAAATATTAACAACTGGAAGGAATTTTTGTTTGGCAGAACAAAAATGAACCCAGAAGGCAGACTAACATGCTTATCCCCAAAAGCACAAAGTTATTTTCTAAACTAGAAAGACTCATTTTTGGCCAGACTCTTATGCCCTTCAAGCTTTCTGTGTGTCAAGGCAGGGGACACAGAGTGTGATACACAAGAAGTCTTGAGAGCCCCCTGACTCCATAAGGAACGTCTCTTACAGATGAATTCTACCCAGCAAGTAGAGTGGAGGACACTCCATGTTGAAGTGTGATGAGTGGGATACATGACCTTTGACCTCAAAGGAATTCATGCTGTAATGAGGTTTGAGAATTGGTGTGTAACTGACCTTTGTCTTGCTGCATGGAAGTAACATTGTAAATGGCAGGTGCCCTGGGGAGAAGTAAAGAAAATAACGCTGTCTGGGTGTCCCTTGATCTTGAAAGCTACCCTGTCAGGGTGTGCACTGACAAACTGACTATAAGACACTTGTCCAAGAAGGAGGCCAAGGGCGGTCTAAAATGGTCTTTAGGGAAATGTGAAATATGGGATCCTCTCAGGATTACAAAACACACACATACAGCACGGAGAAAGAACTGTGAGGGAGACAATCCACTCTGTATGATAAACACACCCTAACCTGTACCATCCAACTAGTATGGGGTTTGTCAAATAAAGGACAGTGATCGGTACAGCGTCATGGTGCAGAGGGGAAGGAGAGTCTTTGTGAGAGCTCTTTGCTGTGCTTGTGGCCACTTAAGACAGATGCACAACCATGGAGGTGTCACACATGGTTGTTGAGATGGGGCATATGTGATTCCCCTCCAATTACTCCTGAATTAAAAGTACGGGAAACATGAGGAAAGCTGTCAGGGCAGACTTGAGCCTTTGTGGCTGATGGGTGCCCAGGTATAGTAGAGTAGAATTTGGGGCTGGTTCTAACCATACTGATCTATTTTTTTTTTTTTTTCCCTCCAGTACCGGGAACCGAACTCATGACCTTGCGCTTGCCAGGCAGGCGCTTTTGCCGCTGAGCTAAATCCCCAGCCCCCATACTGATCTATTTATCCATACGTCTATCCTTTCATGATAAAATCTGGGAATCAAGAAATGTGAATTCTTCCATTTTAATATTCTTTATTACTGGCTAAGTTATGTAAAACTGAGAAACCTTCAGCATTCTGTTTAGAGTAGCTTGCTAGTATTTTTAGTGGTATGACACTGACTCTGTTGATTTACTTTAGAGGACTCGATATCTTAGTGATACTATGTGAATTGGTCATTAACAGGGCATAAACTCCATTGATGTTTACTTGGTATCCTTTATCATAACAATTTTCATAGTTTACCACACCAAATTTTATATATATTATCTGGAGCATATCTATCTTTCCACACTTTCCTGTTATTCTTACTTACTTTTTTATTATTCAGGATATTATTATTTCAGACCCCAACCATTCATAGCTGGCAAATAGGATAACAGCTAGGTGCACACAGTGACTGTGCAACTTGGCCTCTGGTTCTCGCCATCATTCTTCATCAGTGCCCAGGAAAATAGGGGGAATTTCTGCCTGAATTTCCTTATTTATGACATAAAGTAATCTAAACACTAAATTTACCAATCCACGTAGACACCCTGGAACTAATGTGTATGGCCTCCGCCTATATTGAACACTTCTTATCCTGACTCACATCCTCACAGGCAGCAGGGTACATGCATGTGAACTGGCATTTTCTACACAGGGGCACACAGGAGTGCTCTGCCCAGTGAAGGCGCAGCAGATCCACCAAGGACAAGAGCTTTGTCTCCTCAAGATGCAACAGAAGAGGCCCCAGCGTGGCTTCTATGCACCTTGGGTGTCTGCAGGTGGGCAGCAAATAGCCACTGTGGTCAGTGGTGTTGGTCAAGAAGGGGACTCGGCCCAGGCTTTTGTCCTGATGATGTTCTGGGGAGTGCAGAAGAGTATTTCTGATCACACATTCTCGTCTGCTCTGGTACATGTCTTATCATACTGGGGAAATTATTAAAAGTAGTCCTTTACTGAGTGATTTCCTGGATTGGTGTCCTAACATACTGTAATATACTTATGAATTTAGGAACTCAATTAGTTTCTTATGGCACAGGAGATTGAGTACAAGGTGTTGTTTCAGTTCAACATGTACTTTCAGTTAACTACTTCCTCAGCCATTTAAAATGTTATTAGGAGCCAGAGTCTTACATGGTGTCTTTCTGTTAGAAAGACTTAGGCATATTGGATCAGGGTCTGCCCTAATGACTTCATCTTAATTTCTAAAGGAAACCTGTTTTTGAGTTAGATCACATTCTACAGTAGCAGCCTTCAGACCTCATCATTACACTTGAAGCACAGTTCCATCCAGATAATAGTCTGACCCAAAGTTGAAAAGAAGGCTTGAGTTTGACAAGTCATGTATTTACGTGGAGGATGCAGCAGTATTCTCAAATACATTTGTGCTTTTACTGGGTACAATGTGCAATGTCCAGGTTAAGGGACATAAAAGCTTTTCATTTAAGAATATCTTCATACAATGTATTAAACCCAATAGGTTCAATATATTATCCTTCTATCTATTTATGATAAACATAGAAGACTTATTATCTTACAACTTTTTAAACACTTTGAAGATTTTGCACTTACATCCCAACTTTATTTTCATTAGCCACCTTTCAAATGCTGAGATCAACATCTTTCAAAAAGAATAAATATTTTCTCACAGTTTATATACTTTAATTTTTAAAGTTTATCCTTACAGAAATCAACGTTTTCTTCCATCTTTAACAGGCAGCTAACACTATCCTGTCCGAATTTATAAGGTAATATGGACACCTATACTATATGTAAAGTCTAAGTGAACATTGAGGCCCACATTTTGTGCTGGTGATTTTGATATTGACAAATACAAGATGGTGTCCTTTGAACAAATATGGTGTTATTTAGAATAATCTGCCTGCAATAAAAATTCCACTGAGGTTTGGGTCTCTAAATGTTATCTGCATTTCCTTGCTCCTCAAAAATTTGAGTGATGGGAAATAGAGAGTCATTTGCAGACTTTGGTTGTCTGCTTCAGGGTGACGGAAAAAGAGAAATTTGCCACACAGACTCATGTTCTCACAAAAGCCTAAGCCCTGGAGGAACTCAAGGTTGTAGGAGTAGAAATGGGTTCTGACAATATATTGAATCATGGAATGAAGATACTTGAAAGAAGGAAGCAGCAGGGAAGTGGGCTAAATTACACAACTCAAAAGGGCGTTGCTTTCCCGCACTGATGCTCAGTCACTAACTTGGCTTTCCCAGCTGTAGTGCAATTATTTGTACCCCAAGCACTGGAGAGCATGTGCGGCTGTGAATTTCAGCACATGTGCCTGGTGCACAGAAAACACGGCTTTACAGGGAGAGTTCTGTGGCTTCAACTCTCGAACATGGGCCTGTCAGGTGAAAGGTCAAAATGTTCCACTTTGGAAGGCACAATGTGCAGTATTATTTGGCTGACCTTGAGGATTTTCACACTGTTTCAAGAGAACCCTAATATTAAATCCTCTAGTGCAATCCACTTAGTGACACCTCTAATGTCCTCTGTAACTGTGGCTTATTGACAAAGACTTAGGAGCAAATCTGCCCAAGAGTAGCTGGCTCCTGGGATGTTGCTATCAGTGGAACTGGATTAAATCATGGTGGCTCCAGGTGGAGAAAATGATATGCGAGCATAATTTCTGTCTTGTGTTTTTCTCCTGGACTCTAGACCTCAGGTGTAGAGCCCAGGGGCAGTGGTAGCAAACTTCTCCAGAGATATGGAGTAGGCACTGCTGACAGGAGCTGGGGCATCACAGTGTCCACCTGAGTCAGAAAAAAGTAATTCTGAATCACACACACATATTTATTTACCTGGCTGTCACTGCAAGTTTCTTCTACACTCAGCCTGAATCTTTTCATACACCTCTAAGATGTTCATTTTGATTGTTCTCTTCCTTCTCTTGCAGCTTCTTGCCTTAGTGTGTACTTTTGATAATGAAGCCTGCCTTCGCCGAAGGAGCACCAGTGTGCACAAGGATGGAGACGTGGTGGTTGGGTGTATTTTGTCTCTTTATTTCTATATCTACTATACTGCAGTCTTTGACATAAAGCCTACTAGAGAATTCTATTACTTCCCGTAAGTGTCTTCTTCATTCACTGGTTTTCTTTCGGGACATCAGGATAGATAATTGCTACGGATCTCTAGTGCATTAATGTTCTCTACAGTGCCGTCTGTTCTGCACCCCCCCCCCATGTGTACAACAGGCCTGCTGATAAGTTTGGCCTCTGTTTATACTTGGGAATGAGAGAAGAGAATATTCTTCCTATTTATTTGTGCTTCTTGCTGTCTCTTTTCACTCTTGGAACCTGAGAGGGACCCCACTCTCCATCAGATTCCATGGTGCATGACCTTCCTGCATGGCATTAGGTGATGTTCTGCATCTCAGTTGAACCCTGTAGATTAATGGAACACTAAGAGCCTATTGCCAAGTATTCCCTAAGAAAATGAAGGGTTTGCTGTTTCTCTATTTCTCTAACTGTAAACTTCCTTATTTTATTATTGATTATTTGCTGATATTTCTACCTCTTCTGCGTGGACAATCTTCTTCCTGTAAACATTCAGTTACTATTTCAAATACACTTTAGGGTGCTCCAGGACTCCTGACACTGTAAGCTGAGCTCAGAATAAGTATGAATCCTGTGTAAGACTTTTCCCCGCCAGTGTGTTTCTTCCTCAGTTAGATGCATGTATCTTGTCTCTGTTTGGTACTATCTTTTCAGGTCTCACTCCCAACATATGATTAAATAGTGAATTTTCCAAAGTGTCTGAGAATTGTAGCAAATGACTTGTGGTTTTGTGAGAAAAGGAGGGATCAGTGGAAGAGTGAGTGATTGAGTCTTACAGAAGATGCTGACCCACAGTGTTCCCATGGCAGCTACCCATATGAAGGGTTAAAATAAATTCAGAAAGATTTTCCTTGCTCATATACAGTGCCACAGCCTAGTTCTAAAGATTACACATTAGGATGTTTGATGCACATCCTGACATGAGTGGAAAGTCACTGTTAGCCTGGCCACATCCCAAGAAGTTTCTTTCTCACCGGTCTAGAAGATGCAGGTGTTCGATCTGTCAGGTACTTGGTCAGTTTTGGGGGGTTACAGACTCTTGCTTCTGGTCATGCACAAAGTTTGGACACTGCCACTTTTGTGTCAGCTGGTATTTAAGGGGCCTCACTGGTCGGAGGAGTGTGGGATCTCATGTGTAGAGAGGACACTGTGCCCAGACCCTTCCCAACCAGAACCCTGAAAACCCTATGAAGGGACATTCACAACTGGAATTGGAACTCCAGGTGTGGAAGCTCTTCTGATCCGGTGATGTAACCATCTCTGTGCTCTTTCTTTCTTCTGCATAATCATGTATGTGTTGACTAATAGTTTGTTAGACTTTGTTTTATTACTTTTAAGCTGGTGATCGAGGCATTTGTCATTACACCTTGGATGTGTGTTTTCCTTCCATCATTTTTTCAAATGTGTGTTACAGATGTGCTTAATATACAAAGCTTGATTTTGAGACCCGTTACTGAGTGTTTCTTGATGGTGACAGATCAGAACTATTTTTTGAGTGTCTGACTCAGAGAACTGTTCTCAAAATGTCTTAAACCCTGTGAGAGGATTAATTACTCAGGTCACTTATTTATAATTATAAGAAGGATTTTATTTGATCGGGACATACCCTCAGTACAGAATACACTGAAATGTGGTTTGTTTCTGGAGGTAGATTCTTAATGGTGGATGGGCTCGTGTGTGCTAAGAGCTAATGAGGAGCATGGAGGTGGGACCGTGAGGGAGTCTGGTTGACTCCCTCAGCCGATTCTAACTGAAGAGAGCCCAGTGTGATCAGACATCAGCTGAGTATAGTAGGTAATGAAAACATGGTCAATATCTAGCATTATCAGATTCCAAAGACAGTTCAGCAATGCAGGGTCTATTTCTGTTCCTCAGAGGAGAGGATGAGCTGCGGACTCTTCTATTGTCCTCTGCTCTCCCCACATATGCGCAGAGGATCAGGCTGCTTGTGCAGTCGGTCCTGATCTAGAGCCCTGCACAGTGAGATCTGTCTGGGGCTGAAAAGAACACACTTGCAATTCTGAGTTTCCCTACCCAAGCTGATGTAGCCACAAGGAGAAGTGTTTAGGGCTTCAGGAGAGAATTTTCTTTCCTGCTAAAATGAGCAGAAAAAGGAACGAACTTTTGGAAAATAAGTGCTAGTTATTATGCCTGCATGATTTATATCCTTCAGCCCATCATAGTTAATTCTCTCCTATTTAGGTGTGTTCCAAATTTTCTAATTAATTTCTCCTGTCATTTAAGGAGGGCAATAGGTGTGTGATACTTACAGGAATGTTCCTGATTAAAGCTAAAGAATGTGGAAGAGTAAAACGGTTCTGCTCAAAGTTACATATTCTTTAAATTATCTTATGCCTATCATCAAACTACATACTGCAACAAAATAATGGACATTTTCACACAGCCCCTTAGGGAAGAAGTATTTCCTCAACCTTTACATTGGGCAACCGGCCTAAGGTGGGGTTAAACAAGTGGCATCATGTTGCTATGTGGGCATATCCTGTATTAGCATTTGGGTCAATGACATTGTATGCATTGTCTTCAGATTATTATGTTTCATTTCATCCTTCATCAATTTTTTATCCTAGGAAAGTCCTTCTATTTTTTAAAAAAGTGTTTGTATATTACAGACCAGAAAATATTGTTGACCAAGCATTTTAAAAATGATTTCATAGGCACTTAACTTGTTGTAAATATTTTCACATAAATCATGCTTAACCAGAAAAAGATATGAGCGTCTAGGTTGCAAAAAAATACTGCTAACTTGCCTTTACATTTTGCATATTTGGAATGAATCTCAATGTATAATGCTGAAAACACCTGTATTAAGTTTATTACTTTAATATTCTAAAACATTATTTAGTATTTCTGGAATTTATTTTGTGATCAACATGTGTACTCACTTAATTTCAGTTTTCACAATAGCTTACTTTTTACTATGAATAACATAATTTAATATTTAAGGAATTTCTTTAAAACTCTTGTGATAAAAACAATAAATGATAGTCATACAGATTAGATAGACAGACAGATACACAGAGACAGACAGATAGATATAGATGGATAATCACTTTGTCCTAACCTGTTCCATTGATATATCTATTAGTTGCTTTTTCTCTGAATAACACACTCCTGTCATGTTCTGAGTTTCTCCACTTTCATAGATTTCATAAATTTCAGAGCACTTGTGTAATATTTGCTCTGATAGAAAAGTCTATCTTCTAATGTTTCTGAGCAGGGGCAACATTGATACAATTTTTATATTAAAATTCATAAAATATTCTTTTTAGTACTTTTATCTCTTTACTAGAATTTTAAGGTTTTAAAATGTCATATTATACGTTTTGTGAAGTCTATTGCTGTTCTATATATGTTTTTCTCAAAGGACTTTCACTCATCAATTTTATATGGGAAATCTTTTTCTATTCTCATTTACTTAGCTTTTGTTTGGGGCCTCCATCAGAATTTTATTTTATTTTTAGGTGAATAATCTTACTCCTAAAGAAATACTCATACCTGGTTGTCTCTTCAATTCTTTTTTCTCTCCTTACTTGCTGAATATTTCTTCTATGACTTAGAAACTCCAGTGCAACAGTAAGTGATTTTGATGCTAACAAAGAAATCTTGTTTCAACAACTTTTTCAATGCACATACTCCTGACATACAGCTTCTTTAAGAAATTTCATGTCACAATATTCACAGCAGATTGCACTTTGTGAATACTTTGTTCAGTTTTCTTAAGAGAACTCTCTTAGGAGGAGAAGGGTGAAGCAGTTGTCTGTCCCATCATTCTCTGGGAGGAGGGTGAACTTGTGTTCCTGACCTTCACCCATCATCATGTGACTCACTGCTTTATGCTTTAAGCAAAATCTAACTTTGACTTAAAAGAATTTTAGTTCTATGTTTAATTTTTTGTTTAGTTCTCAAATACAATTAATTATGTTCATAGATGCAGTGTTATGTGCTGCTACATATTGATATTATCTACTAGCTAAATCAAGTGGATTAATGTATCCATCACCCCAGTACTTCATCACATGCATGAGTGTGGATAGCAATTCTGTTGGTGAGAAATTGAACTAATAATATTAAGGAAGTATCTTTTTTCTGAAATGAAGCATTTCAACAGAAATGAATGCTTATTAGTATTGAATACTATATATACTTTAAAAATATATTCTTTTTCTTGCAAACTGTGAGGATATTTAAAAGTATAAAATTTTCTAAATACCTACACAGTGTCATTCTACAACACAAATTTTATTCTGAATATATATAGCAAGGTCATGTTAACTGTGTAAGAAGTATAAGAGAATGATGAAGCAACTCTTCCAGGAATCTTGTAAGGCCACTGAGCTCCACCATGAGAAATTCCGCCCCATCATTCATCTAATTCCAGTGACGATCTGAAAGTCAATCTTTTATCCTCATCATATCCATACTTGGGTTCTAATTATATGAGTGCATGGAAAGAACACAGTATTCAGTCCATAAATGTACTGGACTGCATTGGAAGATGATTATTGCTTGAGTCTTTTCTTTAAGGACCTCTGTGCTCTCTCTGCAGGCTGACGCCAAGGAACTACCAGAACTACCTGGCCTTCACTTTTGCCATAGAAGAGATCAACAGGAATCCTCATCTTTTACCCAACATTTCTCTGGGCTATGAGTTCCACAATTTTATTAGCAGTCATTGGATAATGCTAGAAAGTTCCTTCATTTTGCTCACAGGACAACATGAATTCCCTAATTACATGTGTGGGAGAGAAAGCAAGTGTGCAGCAGTACTGACAGAAATGTCATGGGGTACCTCGGGTCAGATCGGATCACTGCTGGAACTCTACAGATTTCCACAGGTGAGGGTTGGTGGGACAGGAACTAGTGGAAGTGCTTCCATGGGGCTTCAACTAGCAGGAGCAGAAAGGGGTTAAAAATGAGACTGGGATATGCATCTTTCATAGGGTATAAAGCACCAGCCTCTGAACACAGAGACTTAATGGGTTACATGGAATTTACTACGTATTTTTTTGATCAAAGAGGACTAAAGAAAGAATGAAACATTTCTGAGTTGTCTGAATATGCTCATTTACTTTAAGACAAAGTCTGCTGAGGGCAATGTTTTGAAGGATGGAAACAAGACGTGTTTCCTACAACTTTTAGGTGTTACTCAGGACTATTATAGCGCTTTCCATCAACACTTCAGGGTATCACCAAGTTTTCTTTCCCTTTAAGGTTACCTTTGGCTCATTTGATCCTGCACTGACTGACAGTGGCCAGTATTCTTCTTTGCATCAGGTGGCCCCAAAGGACACGTATTTGGCCCTTGGCATGGTGTCCTTGATGCTTCATTTCCACTGGACCTGGGTGGGCCTGCTCATCACAGAAGGCCAGAAGGGTCTTCAGTTTCTCTCAGATGTAAGGGCTGAGATGGACAGGAACAGAGTCTGTGTAGCCTTTGTGAAAATGGTGTCAACTGTGGCTGTGTCGTATGTCTCATTTACAAAGCAGCATGATGTCCTGCCTGCCAACACGGCATCAGCCAATGTGGTGGTTATTTACTATGATACTGATAGTACGCATGATGTAAACTACAACATAGTGCAAGACTTAGTGACGTGGAAAGTCTGGGTGACAAACTCACGATGGCATGCTGACCTTTCTGGGAGAGATTTCATACTTGACTCCTTCCATGGGACTCTTGTTTTTTCACATCACCATGAAGAGATTTCTGGTTTCAAAGACTTTGTCCAGGAAGCTACCCCTTACAAATATCCAGAAGACACTTATCTTTTTGTGTATTGGTCCAAGAATTTTGGTTGCTCCTTCTCTGATTCTGACTGTGCCTTGAAGAACTGCACACCTAATGCCTCTGTTGCTTGGTTGCCTCAGAATCGCTTTGACACAGGCATGAATGATGGGAGCTACAATATATATAATGCTGTGTACGCTGTGGCACATGCCCTGCATGCGATGCTTTCTGAGGAAGTACAAAGACCACCAATGAGAAATGGACAAGTGATGTTTCACCACTGGCCGGTAACGTGTATTCTCTTGGATGGTGTGTACTGTCATAATGGTGCCACTCTCAAGTTATTCTGTATTTCACCCAAGAATACTAAAATCATTTCTGCAAAATACAAGACATTGTATATCACACTTGTTGTTAAGGAGTCAATTCTTGAGCTGAGTTGAAATGAGTCTCAATCAAGCATCCTCAGGCAACAAGGAGAAAGCAGGAGGCCAGCTCACTCCTGTCTAGAGGATGTCAACGCCTTACCTGTGTAACATGTTTTGTGATTTTCTTAAAGGACAACTGGAAAACCTATAGTCAGTTATGAAACTAAATGGTGTTACACCCAAAAGTGCATGTAATTTAATTTCATGTAATTCCACAAACTCTTCTGGTATTGCTGAACTCATTTTGTTGGTAGATGCTATGGGAATAGTGCAGCAGACAGTGGAAGTTGTGGGTTTTAGAAGCTTTGATTTCACAGTTGATATTTTCACCGAACAACTGCACTCTTTATTTAAACAGGCTTGCAGAGAATACTATTTTTCAGAAATTGATTGACATTTCTTGAACATAGTGACATTTTAATCCTTAGACGTTCATGTGCTCCACTTTACTAGATAGTGTTAAAGTTGTTTTAGGTAAAATTAGATTAAAGTTGCTTAGGGACTTTCCCCCTCCATACTTTCTGTCCTTACCCTGTAGCCCTGTTCTGATAGAATGATGTGTCTCTCTCAGCTGCATCGCTTTCTGAAGAACATCCAATTTCTCAATCCTGCTGGAGACCAAGTGAACTTAGATGACAGAAGGAAACTGGATTCAGAGTATGACATTCTCAATTTTTGGAATTTTCCAGAAGGCCTTAGACTGAAAGTTAAAGTAGGAACATTTTCTTCACATGCTCCCCGTGGCCAAAAACTGACTTTATCTGAGGATATGATAGAGTGGGCCACAGGAACTGCAGAGGTATGTTGGACTTATCATGGCACATTCCCTTAACCACAAGTGAGCTAAACACTGTCATAGGTTTTCTGCCCCCAGCTTTGGTCATATAATGGTCATATGTGGATATTGAATAACAGTAATAAGTTTTCAATTTAAAAAAATTGTTCAGAACCTTTTGGATGAGTGGGAAAGTAATGCATTTACTGAATAATATTTTGTAAATTTATATTTCATATTATGAAATTAATATGATATTCAATTGTGTAGCTTTGCTCGTGTTGCAAATTAAGTTTATATCTCTCAATCTAAAGAAGTATGAGTCTGAGAAGTTACTACCATATGTGTTTTTCCTTAGACTCCCCGCTCAGTGTGCAGTGACAGTTGCAATCCTGGATTTAGAAAAAGCCCTCAGGAGGGAAAGGCTGCCTGCTGTTTTGACTGCACCCCTTGTGCAGACAATGCGATCGCCAATGGCACAGGTAGGAGCATGTCCTGTGGACGCACTCTCATTTTATTTTCTATTCACTCCACGCACCCAGGAAATGGAAAAATCTTCTGGAAAGCACCAATGATAAAAATCTTCCTTCACTTATCCAAGTATTTGTTATACTAAGTGCTACTGCCTGGTGGGAAAACACATTTTCCTCTTTGAAATGCACTTAATTCATTTTCCTTGTATTTCACTCTTATTCATTATTTTTGTTTGCCTTTTCCACTGCTAGAAATTCAACGAAAATGTGCTCTATCCATGATCTATGTCCCCAGATATTCTTATTTGTCATTATGAGACAGAGTAGCACCAATTTGCCTCAGACTGCCTCAAAAATTCAATAGACAGATCTCTGCCCACTATTTATCTGGAATAATACATAGGTACCGCCACACCTGACTACATTGATTTACATTTCTATTCCCAATAAAAGCATTATTTTCTCAAGAAAATCCCGTTTCCCTACCCCACAGCCTCTAAGTTCCATCTCCATTGTGTAGTTTAACACAGAGTAGGGCCCAAGCCACCTCTGTAGAACTACAGAAAGTACACAATCAAGACAAGGTCAGGCACAGTTCATTTTCTAGGGCTTGACTGTATCATTCCCACAAAGCAGGTGGCCAGACAGATTGAATTTGAGGGGAGATTGGGGATGTCTTTGATGTGCATCGTGCTTATAACACAGCACCATTCAATTCCTACGATTTAATCTCCATTCTCCTAGAATGCATAGGTGAGTAGGGAGACAGACTATGGCATAAATTTGAGTCTGTACCACAGAACTGCAAGGATGATATGCACCCAGAATAGAGGATTTAACAAGTGAGAATATCTACAATTCAGGAGGGTGTCATAGGCATTTTTACAGAGGTGACAGCATTAGTATTTCATCACAATAAAGGAGGTGGCATAAATCCTTTTAGGATTATTATAAGTGGCCCTCATGGCATAGTCACCATTCATGGAATATTCAAATATTCTGAAGGAAAATACCATGTTATTAAAACACAGATAAAATGAGGATGAGAATTGAAACCTACATCTTAAAATTGATAGAAATCTAATGTAGAAGTCTGTTGCATACCATAAGTACCAGTTTATAAGTATTTAGCTTTCTTATAAATGATGACATGGTGGAATCATCTTCCCACTGAATATTATCTAATATGGATTCATGGCTGACATAAATTTTGTTTTCAAAACATATTTAGTATTCTTTCCAATGCTCTCTGAAATACGTCAAGATAATTATGTACTGTATTATGTAGTTATTTTCATTATATATTTCCATCAATTGTGGGAATATGGTACTTTATAAAAATATTGTATGTCCACATGTAAGAACAATGCACCCTAAAATATAAGTTAGTACATGCTTCCAGTATGTATAACACTCAATCATACATACTATGTGCAATAGATCAAACCACAGATTAAAAATCATGTACAACTAAAAATGCTGTGTGTTGAAGCTAAAACTACACGGAGACAAATCTCCATTCTATATTCCATATGATTCTGTGCTGTTCAGTATTTAAATAAAAATGCTGCAGTTCTTCCTTTGAAATGTTCATCACACACTACAAAAAAGTACTGCAAGTTGAACATGAGGAAATAAAAGATGGGATACAGTCTGAACGGAATTTTTAGAAAATGAAGACAGAGGAAATAAAAGCTAATGTGATTCTGGTAGTAAAAACTGACAACTCAGCACAACTGATCAAGAACAGAAATATTGAAAGGTTGTATTTCTTAAGAACTTTGTCATTAGTACTGTTATATAGAAACTTTCCATAGAAAGATATGAGTAATTTCACATCAATCTATGCCTTGAAATTTATACAGTCACAGGAAAATTTAGCAAAACAGTCCTCAGAAAAAATAAAATTTTCCATACTAATCATATCTCTATGTTATCACGTGTATTACCAGATGGGAGTCCATGGTGTAGTATTTCACTCCAAATTTTTGTTGATTGATAACATTAGCAGTGAAATGTATATGCTCTCAAAAACATACTAATTGTGACCTCATTCTTTCCAAAAAAAGGGAAAGAGGGAAATCAGTTCATCATAAAACAGGAACTACATCATCTTACTTGTAGCTGAAAATGCACTTAGAAGAAATAAAGTTCACAGTCCACTTTCTTTTTCAAACTAAATTCACGTATTCTATTTCAAATTGAGGTACATGCTTCAGGGGCGGTATACCATAAGCAAACTCAGTTTATAAAATATGATTAAAGGCATTAGGCCTTAAGTAAAGAAAAACAGTGCTAACGTATGCAGACAATATCATAAAATTGTACATCACTGTGATTCACAAAGAAACAACATGAGTATTTCTTACCAAATAGGTGAAGAAAAGTCTCTAACTGCCCCTCAGAAATGGTATTTTTCATATCCTATAGCTCACACTACAATTTGTGGTCCATTTCTGAAAGCAGGAGTAGGATAGGAACTTTCTGTATCATACTTCTGCCAGACGTTACACTCTATATCATGGTCAGTGCAATGAGGAAAACACAGAAAAATAAAAATTTGTTAGAGAGGGAGAAACATGAATGAGACGATTTTCCAGTGATACTAGTTTTTAAGTATAAAACTCATGTAAATGAATAAAATGATACTGGATTGTTTGGTTATGGAAGACAAGGCTATCAAAAGAAAAACCATTTCCACACCTCAGTCGTAAGGTACTCATAGCTAAAATTTGAAAATTGATTTTTGTAACGTTTACATTCATTCAATATGTAGTGATATATCCTGCAGCGATGTTCAAGTTGAGAGAATTAAACTATTGAAATACTCCCCTTTTCTTATTTTAAAAATAAAAGGAGGAAAACATTAACAGGCAGACATCATTTTACAAAATAGCAAAAGAACAGTAGAGACAGTACGGAGTTACAAACAAAGTGGTAGGGAATAAAGAATGCTTGTTGTATTGCATACTGATATCTTCAAAGTGGTTTCTCATGAAAACAGATATAGACATGCAATGCTGATCAACCAAGGACTCACTGACACTTTCTTTAAGCAAAAAATACAGGGCAGTAGAGCAGCCGTGTTAACTATCCTGCATATACATACATACAAAATTTCTCCTTCTTTCCCTTCTCTTTTCCCACATCCTAGCTGCCCTTTACTCTTGAGTGCTTTCCTATCAATTCACAATGTCTATCATATCTCCTAGTTAAATTAACTCTTTCAGTTTTTACAGTAGTGAAACAATGCGGTGCTTGCACATGCAGGTCTGATTTATTTCACTTATGAGTATGGTCTCTAGTTGTGACCATTTACGTATAAAAGCCTCAAATTTATCTTTCTTTACATCTGAGTAATATTCCATTATATAAAAGTA